CTCTTGATGAAAGTGAAAGAGGAGAGTGAAAAAGTTGGCTTAAAGCTCAACATTCAGAAAACTAAGATCATGGCATCCGGTCCCATCACTTCATGGCAAATAGATGGGGAAACAGTGGAAACAGTGGCTGACTTTATTTGTTTGGGCTCCAAAATCAACTGCAGATGGTGACTGCAGCCATGAAATTAAAAGACACTTGCTCCTTGGAAACAAAGTTATGACCAACCTAGATAGCATATTAAAAAGCAGAGACATTACTTTGCCAACAAAGGTCCATCTAGTCAAGGCTATGGTTTTTCCTGTAGTCATGTACGGATGTGAGAGTTGGACTATAAAGAAAGCTGAGCACTGAAGAATTGATGCTTTTGAACTGTGGAGTTGGAGGAGACTCTTAATAGTCCCTTGGACTTAAAGGAGATCCAACCAGTTCATCCTAAAGGAAATCAGACCTGAATATTCACTGGAACCACTGATTCTGAAACTGAGACTCCAATACTTTGGCCACCTGATGCGAAGAACTGACTCATTTGAAAAGACCCTGCTGCTGGGAAAGATTGAAGGTGGGATGAGAAGGGGACGACAGAGGGTGAAATGGTTGGATGGCATCATCGACTCAATGAGCATGAGTTTGAGTAAGCTCCGGGAGTTGGTGATGGACAGGAAAGCCTAGCATACTGCAGTCCATGGGGTCGCAAAGAGTCGGACATGACTGAACAACTGAACAAACAGACTGAAGTCACCCCATCTACGGTACTTTGTAACAGCAGCCCTAGCAAATTAATACTCTAGATAATCATATAAGTCTCCTAGGTTAAGCCCCCTTTTTACCCCTTTTCTATGAGAAAAAAAATTCACTTGCTGAAAAGAAGACATCAGATCTTTAAGAGCTGTCTCATTGGAGACCCTTGGTATTAAGGAATCTTACAGCTATAAGAACAAGTAAAAATGCTTGAACACAAATCATTCCCTGGAGGGTGTAAAAACAAGCCAGTTCAGAAGTCGGCTTCAACCTCTGTTGTCTGCCAATCACTTTTACTTTGGCCTCACAAATCTCAGACATTTGGGGAAACCGAGGCAGGACAACAAGACGGCAAACACGAGTTACCCGATTTAGTAATTCATTCATGCTCCTTCAGGGCTTCCCTGGTGGTTCAGACAGTAAAGAATCTGTCTGCGATGCAGGAGACCTCGGTTCGATCCCTGGGTTGGGAAGATCCCCTGGAGAAGGGAATGGCTACCCACTCCTGTATTCTTGCCTGGAGCATCCCATGGACAGAGGAGCCTGGTGGGCTACAGTCCATGGGGTCGCAAATGGTCAGATACGACTGAGCAACTAACACACTAGTGTTCATATCACCATTCGGCCTTGTCCTGTGTGTGTTAGCGGCAACCCCTCAGCTGGGGGAAATCTGAGGAGCCTTGCGTATAGGCTCCTTTTCTCTTACAGAACCAGAGGGTGAATGCTCATGAGGCAGATGGACCGGAAATCCAGCATGTGCCCACCCCATGTGCCAGCTCCTTGGGCTCTGCCCCTAAGGAAGAAACTAGGAAGAGCTGACACCCAGAGGCAAGAGAAATGAGGCCACCAAGGCACATGCCTGCCAAGTCACATCTCATCCCTAACTTAAACATCATCTCAATTCCCAACTGGACATAATTCCCAGTCAAACACCATCACATCACCCAGTTTTAATTATGTGCATTGCATGGATGGCCTCCTGACATCCCTCTTGTTTATTTACTCATGTAATTACTTTCTGAACTCCTCACCCCTTAACACCCTGAGCCCAGGAGCCTACCAGTTCACTTGTTGCTGTATCCTCAGCATCAAGCACAGAGCTGACAGATTGTAGGTGCTCACTGGGTAGCACATGAATCAATAGAAGAAGCTAGAGCACCATGACCTTTCCTGCCCTGAAATGAAGATTCCCATCATTTCAAGAGAGGGAAGCGTCACCAGTTAAGCCAGTCAACCAAAGTTCTCAAGTTCATCTGCTGTGGGAAGAAGAGATAGAGGCACAGGCAGAATTCCACTAAGGCAGGATCACAGTCTCATTATTACTGAGTGACACAAACTTACCAATGCCCTTTTCTGCATGTTTACATCATGAACTGGTTCTATGCAAAATGAACCACTGATTGATTCCCTGTCTCTCTCCCTCTTGTGAAACATCTGTCTCCTGGTTTAAGCAGGAAGCTCCATGGGATTCTCCTATTTATCAAGAAAATAAATAGGCTCCTCCTTCTAACTAATAATAGATAAAGAGCATTGAGGCACATTTATATATGCCAAGAAAACTTTGTCTAAGCAATTAGGATCTATGATCTTATTCCAGGCCTCTGGCCCATTTTTCAAGGACTAACAAACAAAATAAATCAGCTGTGCTCCAACCTAATTGCAACACAACATAATACATAGAACTTAATGGGCTGTAACTGGAAAATTATTGTGGAGCAAGGTAGGTTAATCTAGCACGTTGGTCACTCCTGGATCAAACCCACAGGTTTGATCAATGTCCAGATCTCTCCCCAGTTCCTCCTCTGTAATCTCCCTTTTTCACATGCAACACAGTGAAAAATCTCATACATGTTCTTCTCCCCAAAGACACTTGCAGAAAACACCAATATTCTTGGATATTTTAAGATCATACTCTAAACACACCTTGGTGTAAATAGGGAAAGAGTGGGTTCCTGCAGGAAATGATAACCCTTATCTCCTTCTTTCCAAGATTTCTCCTTTCTAGAACTAAAAGGCCAGGTCACTCTCAGAGATAAATCATCCAAATAACAACTGATTTCAACATTTCTACCTGCTGAGTATTGGTATTTAGCAGGATGATCCCAGGGAACCATAAGATTCCTAGTCATCTATGACTTAATTATGTTCAGAATATCCAATTTACCAAGGCAGTCAATGTTCTAGAAAGGCCCTTATTAATATGAAGTATTTTGTAAAGGATTTTCAGAGGGTCTGAACCAAAGACAGGAACTCATGTTAATTGTGAATTAATCTGAATCTGTTGTGTCTAGTTCACCTAAACATTATTGCTGGAAGAGGTGTATGCTTGTTTACACAGCGCTCTTCACTGTGTGCACACAGGTGATAAAGAGATAGGGAGTGAAGAAGAGGGAGCCAGGAGGAGATCCATCTTCCCAAGTTTCCTCTTGGCAGAGACCCCAGAACATAGCTCTGCACCAAGGCCACGCTTCTTCCCAAGCACTGACCAGCCTTGTTTCCAAGACTGTGTGCTGGTGAGTGTGGGATGTGGTACCCAGAGGACTGCACACACCTACCGTGAAGACCACCTTCAGGTTATTGAGCATCTCGATCTCCTTCGGGAAGCCCCTGCTGCCCCATCGCACCAGGTAGTTCTCACTGTGGGAAGAGGAGTGGCAGGCAGCCCATTACTGTCAGCGGTCTCAACAGTCATTCAAGATACCCACTGAGCCTCTGCTGTGGGCCCGACACCATGCTGGTTGCTGAGGACATGAGAGTGTCTGAGACAGCCTCTCCCTGTCTGTCCCTCCCTCCAGGAGATCACAGTCCCATCAGAGAGGCAGACGTGAGACAAGCCGGGCCATGGAATTACTAACATGTGTGTGTTCACAACCTCTTTCCCTCTCCCATCCGGCAAGCAAATTCTAACCCAGCTGCCTAATGTTTTTGAAGAGCATCAGTGTTCTCTGTAGAGGTGATAAAGAGTGGCAGAGGGAAAAGATCCTTTCCTCTCAAGGGAAAGGATTTTTATGTGTTTTGTTGGACATTAAGAATATACTGATGTGCAGCCAGGTCCTTAAAAAGTTAAACATAGAGTTATCATGTGACCCAGCAATTCTACTCCTAGGTATCTGCCTAGGAGAATTAAAGACATATATTCATACAAAAAGTTATACATGGATGTTCATAACAGAGTTATTCATAATAGCCAAAAGTGGAAATACCCTAAATGTCCATCAGCTGATGAATGGACAAACAAAATGTGATATATCCATTCAACAGAACTTCATTAATCCATATAAGTGGATACAGTACTGATTGACAATTACTATAACATGGATGAATCTTTAACAGGTTATTTTAAGTGAAAGAAGACAGACACAAAAGGCCACATATTATATGATTCCATATATATTAAATTTCCAGAATAGGCAGGTCCATTGAGACAGAAAGTCGATTAGTGGTTGCCAGTAGGGTTAGGAAGAAGGGAACTGGGAGTGACTGCTAACGGGTACGGGTCTTATTGTTGGGGTGATGGAAATGCTGTAACATTAGAAAGTAGCAATGGTTGAACAAAATTAAAAATATTAAAACCATTGAATTGTATATTAAAAAATGGCAAAGTTTCTGTTATGTGAATTATGTCAATAGTAATAATAAAAAAGAAAAAATCATTAAAAAACAAGCAAAAAGAATATATTAAGAATATGTTAAAATTTCCTGGCAGTCTAGCGGTTAGGACTCTGTGCTCTCACTGTTGAGAGCCTGGGTTTAATTGCTGGTTGGGGCACTAAGACCCCACAAACCATACAGCACAGCCCCCCAAAAAAGAATGTATTTGCCCTTCCCACCCTATTCCCTTTTCAAGACTGAGTAAAGATTTGAATGATTTTAAGTAATCCATTGAGCCCATTGGATGTAGGACCATTTCCCTGAGTGAATGTCACACTGTGATGGGCCCCAGGGCCTTAGCCATTCTCTAACATACACTTAAGTAATGATTTACATGCAGTCATGATAACTATAAGTTTACACAATGATGCTATAAAGAAAATGTTCAGGATGCTGTGAGGATGTACATCAGAAGAACCAGTCCTAGGCTGGGTGGCTAGGGGAGTCTTTGCTGAGGATATGACATGTAAATAAAGCTGGCCAGGCAAAGAAAGTGGGAAAGCAACAACGTATGCAAAGGCCCTGAGATAGGATGGAGCTTATGCATCTAAAAAGCAGATCCAAGGGAAAAGTTGTAAGAGAAAACTTAGAAAGATAGGCCAGACCATGTAGGCCATATAGGATTTAAGGATTTTGGCTTGATTCTTACAGTAGCAAGAACCCACTGACAGTTTGTATCAAGAGCAGTCACACAATTCTGACATCTGATCATTTATCAGCTAATATATTCTAGCAGCAATACATCGTCCACACAGCCCTGCCTGGCTCATGCTGGTCAGTCTAGCTGCATCAGCAGGGTCAGGAAATCTAGCGCTGCTCTTCTTTTTTAATTTATTTTTATCGGAGTATGTTTGCTTCACAGTATTGTGCTAGTCCCTGCTATACAGACAACGAGTCAGCGACACATGTACAGATTTCTCCTCCTTTTGGAGTTCCTTCCTATTCAGGTCACCGCAGCACATTAAGTATTGATTATTGATTAGTGCCCTGTGCTTACAATAGGTTCTCATTAGTTATCTATTTTATACATAGCATCAACAGTACATATATGTCAATGCCAATCTCCCAGTTTCTCCCACCCCTCCGTTCACCCTTGGTATCCATACTTTTCTCTTTGTTCTCTTTGTCTGTCTCTATTTCTGCTTTGCAAATCTGATCACCTAGACCATTTTTTCTAGTATTTCTTTAACTTAGGAGAAGATTAGTATAGTTTGCTGAGTTGATTCATTCAGTTTTTCATGCCATCCAGGAGCATACCGTTGGATCTAAATAAATGCCCATTATCTTGAATTGGGATATAAACAAAATAAAACTCAAAACCAAGTCAGCCCAAAAGACATAATAAGAGAATTCAGCAAACTTAAAGCAAATCACCTTCTTTTTTGAAAAGTTTGTTCTCTCTGATGTTCTGTTCTTTTCTCTCATTTTACCTCTAGAAGGCTAATAACAGTAGTCTGAGCAAAGTTCATTGGAGAAATAGAACGTATAACAAAAAGAACACAGCATCAGATTAACCAATGGTTAAAATGTAATCGAGTTAAAGGAACATTTTTTTAGTAAGATCTAAAAATTTAAGTGGAATTTTCATCAAAATAACCAAGAAGCCTCCGAGACTCCATATACAAAAAATATTTTATCATTATTTCCCATTGGTTATTTCTGGACCACCATAGTGAAATACCTGGGTATTTCTCAGAACCTTTAATCATATGGGGCTTCCCTGATAGCTCAGTTGGTAAAGAATCCGCCTACAATGCAGGAGACCCCGTTTCGATTCCTGGGTAGGGAAGATCTGCTGGAGAAGGGATAGGCTACCCACTCCAGTATTCTTGAACTTCCCTTGTGGCTCAGCTGGTAAAGAATCTAAAGAATCTTCCTGCAATGCGAGGGATCTGGGTTCAATCCCTGGGTTGAGAAGATCCCCTGGAGAAGGGAAAGGCTACCCACTCCAGCATTCTGGCCTGGAGAATTTCATGGACTGTTTAGTCTATGGGATCACAAAGAGTTGGACATGACTGAGCAATTTTCACTTCACCCCACTTAACCACACATAGCATCCCCAGTAGAGAACTAACCAGCCAGGTCTAAACACCAGGCACCAGAAATTTTCTTCTAAGGGAAATAGAATCATAAATAAGAAAAACAATCTAGAAGGCTGATCTGGCCCCTTCCATCTTTGCCCAGGGAGATCTGAGTGGTAAATATGAAGGCCTACCTGGCATTAAGACAGGTAAGACCTCTTCCATAAGACCTCTTCTCCTCAGGGGAAGGGGGAGAACCATTCCAACTCTTTCTTGAGCTTCTTTTGGAAATGAGTTTTGCCCTGGCCTGATGCCTAAGCTGCTTGCTTTTTGTCCTACAAAAACTTACCTTAAGTTTCCCAAACCAAATCTCTGCAGACATCCACTGGAATCTCATTCCATTCATCTCAATATTGAAATATTCCATTCATCTCAATATTGAAAGGTTGAAAGTGAAAGCTGCTCAGACATGTCCAAGTCTTTGGGATCCCATGGACATAGTCCCTGGAATTCTCAAGGCCAGAATACTGGAGTGGACAGCCTTTCCCTTCTCCAGGGGATCTTCCCAACCCAGGGATCGAACCCAGGTGTCCCGCATTGCAGGCAGATTCTTTACCAGCTGAGCCACAAGGGAAAAGTTGATCACAGCCAAATTCTCCCCAGCCCACCTCTGGGCCACACTGCTGATGCGCTAACTTGCCTGAGGCTCACTGTAGGCACCTCCTCGCTAGGGCAGGCAGGAGTGGGGCAAATTGGTTTCTTAGGGAAATAACAGCTACCCAGCTTCAGACTGACACGGGGAGTGCTTCCCAGGTCCCCGCCCCTTCCCTGTATGGTGCCTGCTCCCTTCTCTCTCTGTCTTCTACCCTTTTTTCCTTCATTCTCTGGCAGAGGGTGGGCTCTACCCCCCATCCCTCCCTCTCCTGAGGCTCCTCTGTGTCTCCAGCACTCTCAGAGGCATCACTCAGGCATGCCCTGTCGAGCACATCATTTGATGTGGCACATCAGGGAACAGAGCTGCCATCTCACTGATCCATTGCTTCTCTCCCCAGAGCTGGTTCAGGCCATCCATCACCTCGATGAGCCAGTAGGCCAGGCACCCTTGTCAATTCAGCTATGAGGAATCCTTGTGTTTTTTCGAGAGGCAAGGAGCACTTTCATGATCTTTGTCACAGGTGTCTTGCGAGCAGCTGGCAGGGAATAGCAAGGAGCCTATGACATGCCCAGCATCTCAAGGCGGGTGTTAAGGAAGCAGGAACACTTGCTCAGTGTCTGCTGAGGCCTAGCCAGAGGAGCTGGACTGATTCTTTAAATTAGGGACTTAAGTTTGCTATAAAAAATAGCTTTCCACCGTACAGTGCTAAGACCCTGGTGAGACCCACTGAGGATATCTGATACAGCTCTTTCCTTGGACTAAATTGGAAACTAGCTTATCTTTGGAGTTAGAGGGGAGAAATCTCACCTCTGCCATTTTATAAATATATGTGATCTTGAGCAAGTCATTTGACCTCTCTGAGACTCATTGTCTCATCCAAATCATATGGAATAATGAGGATTATATAAGATCATATACAGACCTCAGTTTAATCTTCTTAGATAGTCGATCTATGTTTCATAAACGTCTCCAGGAGGGCTATTATTTTCTAAAATGAATTTTGTAAGTTACTAGGAACTGTATGGGGCTTCCCAGGTGGCTCGGTGATAAACAATCTGCCTGATAAGCAGGAGACACAGGGAAGATCCCCCGGAGGATCTTCCTGGAGAAGGGTTGGGAAGATCCCCTGGAGAAGGAAATGGCAATGCACTTCAGTATTCTTGCCTGGGAAATACTATGGACAGAGGAGCCTGGCAGGGTATATAGTTCATGGGGTCACAAAGAGTCAGACATGACTTAGAAATTTCATCAACACAATCAAGGTAAGAAGATATCACATTCTCAACTGAAGCAGAAGGCTCATGCTCCAGCTCCAAACTATTGCATTAACTGGGATCTCAAATATGGGACTGTGTGTTGGCTCAAAACCCCACTGGAGGGGACAGGCAGTGGTCACCTGAGAGGAAGGATGGACTGAGCCACAAGTAGAGGCCAAGGCTGGCAGTGGGGGCCAGAGGTTTTCTCAGGAGATTCCCAACACTCTTTGGCCTTCCTCGAAATGAGGTGCCCAGAAGTTCCCTTACCTTTTCCATTCCCAAGAACAATTGATTAAGGTGATTACAATAATAGCCACTGCCATGTGGAGCACCATGTGACAGGCCCTATGCTTCATGTGCTTTTTCTTATTAAAAACCTGTGACCCTGTGCGGTTGATGTGTACATTTTACAAATGGGACACCCAGGCTTAAGAAAGATTAACAACTTGCCCAAGCCTAAGAAGGAGTAAGTGGTGGGGCCACAATGTGAACCCACCTAGATCCTAGATTCCAGAGCCCACACTCCTAGCCTGTCACTGACATTGAGGACACGGCATTTTCACCATTCATTTATTAACTCTCTGTTTTAAAAATATATTTTTGTTCTATCCAGTGCTACCTGTTTGAATCTTGTTATTTCCGTTGTTTTCCATTAATCAAAAATTGCTTACAAAACCCTATTGTACGATGTGGATAAACCTAGAGTCTGTCATTCAGAGTGAAGTGAGTCAGACACAGAGAAACAAACATTGTACAGTAACAGGCACGGACTAACGGACTGGCTCAAAGTCGGGAAAGGAGCACATCAAGGCCGTATATTTTCACTCTGCTTATTTAACTTATATGCAGAGTGCATTGTGCAAAATGCCAAGCTGCGTGAATCACTAGTAGGACTCAAGATTGCCAGAAGAAATATCAACAGCCTCAGGTATGCAGATGATACCACCCTCATGGCAAAAAGGGAAGAGGAACTAAAGAGCCTCTTGATGAAGGTGAAAGAGGAGAGTGAAAAAGCTGACTTAAAACTCAACATTCAAAAAACTAAGCTCATGGTATCCAGTCCCATCTCTTCACGGCAAATAGATGGGGGAACAGTGGCAGATAGTATTTTCTTGGGCTCCAAAATCACTGTGGACAGCGCCTGCAGCCCTGAAATTAAAAGACACTTGTTCTTTGGAACAAAAGCTATGACAAAGCTAGACAAGGTATTAAAACCAGAGACATTGCTTTGTTGGCAAATGTCCTTATAGTCAAAGTTATGATTTTTCCAGTAGCCATGTACAGATGTGAGAGGTGGACTATAAAGAAGGCTGAGAGCTGAAGAATTGATGCTTTCGAACTGTGGTGCTGGAGAAGACTCCTTCGAGAGTCCCTTGAGCAGCAAGGAGATCAAACCAGTCAATCCTAGATGAAATCGATCCTGAATATTCATTGGAAGGTCTGATGCAGAAGCTGAAGCTTCAGTATTTTGGCCAACTGATGTGAAGAGCTGACTCACTGGAAAAGACCCTGATGCTGGGAAAGAAGGAAGGCAGGAGGAGAAGGGGATGACAGAAGATGAGATGGTTGGATGGCGTCACCTACTCAATGTACATGAGCTTGAGCAGGCTCTAGGAGAAGGAGAGGGAAGCCTAGGCGCTCAGTTCTGGGGTAACAAAGAATCAGACATGACAGCAATTAAAGAACAAAAACACACATATACGGAATCTAGAAAAATGGTACTGTAGAGCAGATGCAGAGAACGGACACAGCAGGGGACGGAGAGGATGGGACATATTGAGATGGTATCACTGACATATAGACACTAACGTGTGAAATAGACATAGCTGGTGGGAAGCTGCTATACAGGGACTTAGCTCAGTGCTCTGCGATCACCTGGACAGGTGAGGGAGGGGTGTGTATGCATACAGCTGATACACAGTGTATCTGCTGATACAGCAGTGCAAAGCAATTATACTTCAATTAAAAATAAAAATACACATATAATATATTTTTTAAAAAATTTTAAAATCCTACTATGTAACCATAACTCTACTTTTAGAAAAAATGCCATGGTAAGTAATATTTCCACCTGACTCCCACACCCAAAAGAAGCTATGTCCACATTCTCAGTTAGGCTGTTTTTCTACTGGGTGGGAGTTTCTCCACAAGTAATAGTGGAAGGAAAAGATGCTCAGAGGTCTGCCAACCCCCACCTCCCAAATATAGGCAATGCTGAACATACTTACCTTATGACCATTTGCTTGTTGGGGTCATAGAGAGACATGAAGAGCTCAGCATCTTCCCCAATTCTGCACACAAAGTTTCTCACAAAGACATAGAGGCTATGGGTAGGGGATGAGGAGATCCGGGAATACATTCCATAATCAGGCTGATCTTTTGACTGAGGTGGAAGGGAAAAGAGAAGAAAAGAGAAAATTAGCCCTGCACCACTTAGGACAATGGAAAGTGGGCCCAGGATATTGAGAACTATGTAGGTTTTGAGCCTAAAGATTTCAACATTATGTTCAGGCCTTCCACCAAAAGCATCTTTTGTCTAAGTCAAGTCACTTTGACTCTCTTGATCTTGATTTTGGGGAATACTGCAAACAATCTAGCCTTCCTCATAAAATTTAGTGTCATAAAAAGCACAGACTATATAAAAGAAAAAAATGCTTAAACAGACTTTATCAAGACTAAATATTTTGCTCATTGAAAGATACATTTTTCCCAGGTAAGCACTGGGAGAAAATATATTTTGCAGAACATACATCTGATAAAAAAAAATCGCATCTGGAATATACAAAGAATTCTTGGGGTTGGAGAAGGGGGTTGAACTGCAAAGAAACGCAAAGAAACTTTTAGATGTTGGAACTATTCTATACCTTGATTGTGGTAGAGTTTGCCTAGTACTATATATTAATAGGATTCATTAGATTGCAATTTTAAATGAACTAACTTTATTGTATGAAAATTATATCTCAGTAAAGCTAAAAATAAAATTGCTTTCAAATAATGCATAGTGGTAAAATACTTTAAAAACTATAAATCAGATTAGGTTAACATTGTAAAGATTATATTTCCTTGGAATCTTTTGTTGGCTTCCTACCACAGTTGGAATAACATCTTATTCTTTCCCATGACTCTAAGGTCCTGTAAGAGCTGACTCCTACTACCTGCCTCTCCAAAGTATTGCCTAAACTCTTTCACTGCTCTTTAGGCCCCATCCATACTGGTCTTTCTACTTCTTGAACATTCAGAGCTCAGTCCTACCTCAGGGCCTTTGCNACCCCCCCCCCCCAATCCTGCATTGAACATCTTATCCCCTAATCTTCCTAGGCCTGCTGCCATCACATTATACAAATGTCATCTCAGATGTCCCTCCTGAGAAAGGACTTTCCTAATGGTACCTTTTAAAATAGCTCCTGATTCACTCTGTTTCACATAACCCTAATTGATTGCCTTTTAGAAATTCATCCCCATCTGGAATTAATTACTCAGTTACTTTTTTTTACATTTCTTCTTTTTTCCTCCCTGGAATAGAAAAGACTGGCATTAAACTTCTCATGGGCTATCTGCAGAATGAATCAAAATCTGAGTACAAAACACAATAAAATGCATGTTGTTACTGATCATCTCAAGTCATAGGACAGATGTCCCTTTGAATAATATACAGTCTGGTTAATTAGGTTATTTTAAGCTTATGGTGTGCTAAAGCCTGCTTCCTTTGGCCAAACAAAGTCTGTTTCACAAAGCTCACCATCTCTTCTTTAATACGCTCTGTGATTTTATCAGTCGCTTCTTCATGTGCATGGAACAAGCTGATGACACTGGTATTATCAGGGTCCAAGATATTTCCGTCTTCATCTCTGACAATCAGATCAAGCTCAAGGATTCTGAAAAGCAAGAATGTGAGATGAGGATAAATCAAGGGAGGTGGAAGCCTATAGAACATTGGTGAGAAGTTTCTACCAGAAAGTTCACATGATTTCTGACAGTCATAGTCTCCCTTGGGACAGCTCTACACAGATAGCCTTGCGTGCAGATGGGAGGCATAGTGATATAGCTCAGCCTTTCTGGGGGGTATTGTAGCAGTGTGTATTAAAAAAATATAATGCATATTTCCTGTGAACCTAGAGAAACAACCACACTTGAACAAGGATGTGTGTGCATCAGCAAAGTATTAAAAACATAAAACTGACTTAGTTAGCTAGTTAACACTAAAAGGTCTGTCAAAAGAGAAAATGGCTAAATAAATCTGTAATGGAATTCGTAATGAAATTCCATGTAGTAGGCTTTAAAACTATGACATAGTTTTGATATGTTTATTTCTTTATTTGGTTGACCCAGGTCTTAGCACACGGGTTCTTTGATTTTCATTTTGGTGTGTGGGATGTGTGTTCTTATATTTTAGTTCCAGCATTAGTTGCAACATGTGGGGTCTAGTTCCCTGACCAGGAATCGAGTCTGGGATCCCTACCTCAGGAGTATCGAGTCTTAGCCACTGGGCCCCAGAGAAGTCTCTAGTTCTGATATGTTTAATGATACAGATTACTGGGGGTGAAATCAAGCTTGAAAAGATGCATGCAGTGTTTTCAGTGAAAAAACCGAGCAAGGCAGGTATGTGACCTGCGTGCATGTGCAGAGAGCAAGGTATGCACATAGTGCACCAACACTGGCAACACACATGTCTGCGAGCACAGGCAGGGCCCCGGGACCAGGAGGGCTGGAGGGGTCACGGGAGAATTTTGCCTTATCTCTTTTTGTTTAATGCTTATATGATAGAACATAATGCAGTATGATATGTGATACACAATGCAGGGAAGGTATTCATGTACAATTTATTAATAATATTTTGAAAATAGTTGTTGGGGGTGGGAATCTCAGATATATCATTGTTACCCATGGCTTGCTCTTTAACTCTGTGACTTCAGGGTCACAAGATTTTCCCCTGTTTGGTATTGATTTGTTTCAATTGCAGCTGCCATTCTGATTGGCATCAATGATACTAACAGCAAGATACTCACACAGCACTTTCAATAAGCTGTATATTAAATTGCTCACACATATTAAGGTCTTTAATTTTTATAACAACTCTATGAGGGAGGTACTATTAATACTTCCATTTTACAGATGTAGAAAAGACTGAGGATAATTTCTTCATGTCACATAGCTAGTAAAAAGTAACGTGGCAGCTTTGTTTGCACTCTTTTTATTTTCAGTGCATTAAATTTACTCATAAAAAATTCTAAAACGTACAATTTTTCCTTTTTAACAAAGTAAAATAAAACATAAAAAACCCCAAAACAGAACTCTTGACACTTACAATTCAAAATCAAATTAGCAGAACATTAAATATCTACAAAACTGTATGTTTTAAACATAGTTATAGAGAACAGCATCGAAACATGTATATTATCTAGGGTGAAACAGATCACCAGCCCAGGTTGGATGCATGAGACAAGTGCTCGGGCCTGGTGCACTGGGAAGACCCAGAGGGATCGGGTGGAGAGGGAGGTGGGAGGGGGGACTGGGATGGGGAATACATGTAAATCCATGGCTAATTCATTTCAATGTATGACAGAAACCACTGCAATGTTGTAAAGTAATTAGCCTCCAACTAATAAAAATAAAGGAAAAATAAATAAATAAATAAAAATAAAAATAAAGTGAAAAAGAAAAAAAAACATAGTTATAAAGTTACATCCAATTTTGTTGAATTGGCATAGAAGAATGGCTCAAAATGTACCTTTACGGTACACTTTCTAGTTAACAGGCTCTTAGAAGCAGCACCAGGTTGGGGGACGGGGTGTACGTGTGCAGAGGTCCTAACTTAAAGCTGCCTTGGCACTTGATGCTGACGTGGAGGCACTCCATTGTCCATCCACAGAAAGGAGAGGGAGACTCTGAGAGCAACAGCAGTGGTCCTGCCTAGGGAACACAATCAACTACCATCCTGGGAACAGCAGCGTTTTCAGCTCTTACTTGAGAAGTGGATTGAAAGGCACATCTCTCCTCTCAGCCAGACGCAAACAGGAGGGAGCCAAAGCTCACGCGTTTGTCCACATTTATTAGGAAATTAACTTCCAACTAGATGTGACTCGTAATGCTGCTCAGTCAAGCTGCTGAAGGGGCAATGCCGAAGGCGAATAAATGCATCCAACTGATGCTGAGCAGAGCCTCCCAAGACCTCGGAGAAGACAGACCATGGCCAATACATAATTCAATGCCAAGATCTCTTTAGCTCCTTTCTCTCCAAAATTTATCAAAGTGGATTCGGCTCTAAAAATGTATAAATAAAACAAACTTCTCCTGGGTCCAGCTGTTTTGGGATTTGAAGGATTCATTTGAGGATTCCTCATTCCTTAGATACCAAAGAGCTGTCCATCACCAGTTTCATCTGAAACCTGGAAGCTTCAGTCACCAAGGGGCAGGACTGAACCAGGGTCAGGAGAGGCTGCTTCCTGCTGGGACTTCAGGCCATTCACTTCAGAGAATAGAGCATTTTGACAGTTTTTCCTTAGGGAGTAAGCCCGGCAGCTCTCCTCTGCTCCAGAAAGTGATCAATGAACCCAGGACAGAGAAGGGTAGGGGAGGAAGCCCTCACTGTATGCGTTTTTCAAAAAATAAATATTGCTTTAAGGTGAAGAAAAGAGAAATAACTTTTTCTGTGGCTCCCCATCACTCTCTGGACAAATCTGAATTTTCCTACCTGGCACTCAGACCCTGAGGTCCCAGCCACAGTCATGCTCATCTCTCAGCTCCTCTAAGCTTCTCTCTCTCTCTCTCTCTGAACTCTTCACCTAATAATTCCTACCAGACTTGTTCGATGCAGAGCAAGCGTCACCCCCTGCCCTGCCCCCTCCACCCTGTCACTGCTGCTTCCTCTTCTCAGGAAATGCATGACTTCCTATGCAAGAGTCTGTTTACTTCCTCTTACTGACTCGCATGGTCCTCCAGGAGGCAGTCGAAGACAGAGGTTAAGTGCTGGAATTCTGGAGCCAAGTCACCTGGTTCAAATCCCAGGGCCTCCTGGTCACATGACCTAACTGACCTGTGGGTCTCAGTTTCTTCATCTAGTAGAAACAATGACAGTACCTGCCTCATAGCGGTGTCATACGACCTGGCTGAGTTAAGGCCTGAAAAGTACTCTGAAGTGTACCTGGCAGATAGTAGGTACTCAGAAACTTGTAATTAGTTCCCTTCCCTTTTGTTGTTGTTGGTATAGAGAGAGGCTATTTTTTGTGAATGCTGTGTCCTGAGTGCCTATCAGGTGCTCAATAGAAGCCTGATGACTGAATGAAGGAACAGAATCTCTGAGGAAGGAAACAGGCTGATGCTGACCAGTCCTCCAAGATTCAGAGTCCTGCTCCCTGACTCTCACAGCCTGAGCTGATGGTCCTCATGCTATTCCTGACACTTGGACCAGAAATATGGCCTTTTGGCTTTCAGAAAGGTATCCATCCCATTTCAGAGCTCTGAGCCCCTGAGACACCAGACCTGCATTCATTTAAGGTGCTCAAATCTCTCTCTTTCAGCTGAAGTCGTCAGGGAAGCGAAGCGAGAAGCAAAGGGCCTCAGCTCAGGGCCTCGGCCTCTGAGGGTGTCTCTCACTTCCCCAAAGACAGCTGACTGAGACTGAAAGCGCAGTGCTGGCCGGGGATTCTGCAGGGGGAGCTGATTGAGGGGGAACCCTGTCTTTCCCTTCACTACCGTTCACCTACTGGGCCCAGTACATCAAAATGGGTCTGCCTTAGAGGAGCTCCCAGCACAGCCCCGAAGGCAGGCCACTACGGAGGTAGTTAGTCTTCAAGGTGTTGAGGGCCCACAAAAGTGCCTAATGCAGCAGGGATAGGTGGAGGGGAAATCAAGGATGGCTTCCTGAGAGTGGTGACCATTTTTTTCCATCCTTGTCAGAAGTCCCCATGAGGAAACATCCAAGGTCACAGGTGCCATTGTTACAAAGCAGCAAAACTCCCTCCATTTAGCCAAGTCACCTGGTTCAAATCCCAGGGCCTCCTGGTCACATGACCTAACTGACCTGTGGGTCTCAGTTTCTTCATCTAGTAGAAACAATGACAGTACCTGCCTCATAGCGGTGTCATACGACCTGGCTGAGTTAAGGCCTGAAAAGTACTCTGAAGTGTACCTGGCAGATAGTAGGCACTCAGAAACTTATAATTAGTTCCCTTCCCTGTTGTTGTTGTTACTATAGAGAGAGGCTATATTTTGTGAATGCTGTGTCCTGAGTGCCTATCAGGTGCTCAATAGAAGTCTGATGACTGAATGAAGGAACAGAATCTCTGAGGAAGGAAACAGGCTGATGCTGACCAGTCCTCCAAGATTCAGAGTCCTGCTCCCTGACTCTCACAGCCTGAGCTGATGGTCCTCATGCTATTCCTGACACTTGGACCAGAAATATGGCCTTTTGGCTTTCAGAAAGGTATCCATCCCATTTCAGAGCTCTGAGCCCCTGAGACACCAGACCTGCATTCATTTAAGGTGCTCAAATCTCTCTCTTTCAGCTGAAGTCGTCAGGGAAGCGAAGCGAGAAGCAAAGGGCCTCAGCTCAGGGCCTCGGCCTCTGAGGGTGTCTCTCACTTCCCCAAAGACAGCTGACTGAGACTGAAAGCGCAGTGCTGGCCGGGGATTCTGCAGGGGGAGCTGATTGAGGGGGAACCCTGTCTTTCCCTTCACTACCGTTCACCTACTGGGCCCAGTACATCAAAATGGGTCTGCCTTAGAGGAGCTCCCAGCACAGCCCCGAAGGCAGGCCACTACGGAGGTAGTTAGTCTTCAAGGTGTTGAGGGCCCACAAAAGTGCCTAATGCAGCAGGGATAGGTGGAGGGGAAATCAAGGATGGCTTCCTGAGAGTGGTGACCATTTTTTTCCATCCTTGTCAGAAGTCCCCATGAGGAAACATCCAAGGTCACAGGTGCCATTGTTACAAAGCAGCAAAACTCCCTCCATTCCCACATCCCAGCTGTGCCCACGCTCAGCGAAAGATGACGCTGTCCCAGTGGCGGCCACAGCTGCAGCGCAGACCCTTCCTGTCGCTTTGGGGTGACGAGCGTGGGCGTGGTCAGCAGGTTTGGACTCGCCGGCCAGCTGCCAGCAGCGGAGCCAGCAGAGGGACTGTGCTCCTGGGGTGGGAAGCAGCTGTAAGGTGAACCCACTGACTACCTTTGGGTCACCTTCCTAGTGCATGTGACAAAGGTAAGGAAGCCTGACTGAGAGGAAAAAAACACTTTTTATTCCCACTGCATAGACTCTTTCCACTTCCTCCTCAGGCCCTATGTTCCAGGCTTTGGACCCACTTTGCAGTCTTCTGAACATGCTATGTTCCCTCATGCACTCCCACCCTCCCTTTATTTAAAGCCTACTTGATACTTCTTTATCTTTCAAAATTTAGGTCTGGTCACCTCCTTTAGGAAGCCTTCCTTGACTTCCTTCTCCAAATTGAATTAAGAAGACTCTTGCCACCTAAGCCATCAAAGTTACCACAATACATATCAATACTTTGCTTGTGGCTCACTCTTAATGACTGCTGTGCTCTTAGTGTATGGGAACTTTTATTTCTGTGGCCTCAAAAAACCTGGCAGGAAATCAGGCCAAGTATAGGTGCTCAATGGGCTTCCCTGGTGGCTCATGTGGTAAAGAATGTGTCCACAAGGCAGGAGACCCAGGTTTGATCCCTGGATCAGGAAGGTCCCCTGGAGAAGTGAATGCAGCCCACTTCATGCTCTGGCCTGGAAAACTCCATGGACAGAGGAGCCTAGTGGGCTACAATTCATGGGGTCGCAAAGATTAGGACACTACTGAGCAAGTAACACTTACAAGTGCTCCATACGTGTTTGTTTTTGAGAACAAAAACTAAAGAAATAGGGAGGATGTCTGGAGAGTATTCACTTAACCAGGAGGGAGGGGAAGCCTTTACAATTCTCAGATGCTATCCAAGTAGTATAATGGTGAGGTCCACAGACTCTGGAGACAAACTGCCTGGGTCTAAATTCTGGTTCTGCCTTTTACTAACTATGTGATTTTGGACATGTTACTTAACTTCTTTAAGTGCCTCAGCTTCTTCATTTGAAAAAATCAGGATATTAAAACTGCCTACCTCATAGAGTTGTTATCAGAATTAAATAAGACAATGAATGTGAAACCCTTAGCTTAAGACTGGTGCACAACAAGCTTAGATTAGGGGTTAGTTATAATCAATACCATTATTAGTGCATTGACCTGCATCAAAAAATTGTAAGACCTTCTCCTCAACTTCACAGCATTCAGACTAACCAATTTCTGCTTCTTCCCCTTTGAGGAAATGCTTTTGTAACCGTGCATTTGAGTTAGCCGACAGCATGTGGCTTAGATAATTTAGGATGGGGGAAGGGACATAAAGTCTCACACTGGGATTGAAGAGGGGGCAGTTGTAAATGCAGGAATAAAATAACAACTAAGCCAAAAGTGAACCAGCATGACTGTACTCCCCAGATCCTTGTAAGTAGGTTAACTGAGTGTCCTAAATCTCTAGCCTGCTAATAACCACTGCATAAGCAAGCCTCTCTCTGCTTGTGTTTCCCCGGGTCCCACAGGGGTGATTACAAAGGCACACAATCATGGGCCTGTTGGTAGCTGCTGCTGCTGCTGCTAAGTCGCTTCAGTCGTGTCCGACTCTGTGCGACCCCATAGACGGCAGCCCACCAGGCTCCCCCGTCCCTGGGATTCTCCAGGCAAGAACACTGGAGTGGGCTGCCATTTCCTCCTCCAATGCATGAAAGTGAAAAGTGAAAGTGAAGTCGCTCAGTTGTCTTTGACTCTTAGTGACCCCATGGACTGCAGCCTACCAGGCTCTTCCGTCCATGGGATTTTCCAGGCAAGAGTACGGTAGCAGCTTCTCCCAAATAGAAAGTGGCAAACTCACCACTAAAAGTGAAACCTAGTTTCTCAGAGGGTGAGAAGGAAGAAGGGGGGTGGGGGTGGGGGAAAAAAAAGCCTCTTTTGGGAGGAAAGAGAGGTTACTTGTTGCCATAGTCAATTTTGGACGTGACTTTCTGCTTCAGTTCCTTTAGCTCGTCCTTGGGTAAAGTTCCTGAGAGGAGCTGCGACCGCCACTCCATCAAGTCGTACATCATGGACTGCACCTGGAGAAAGCGCTCCTTCTTGCTGGCCTAGGAGGAAAAACAGGAAACAATCCACGGTCACCTGCACCAAAGATCTGGGGCGTCTCTTTGGCAAACTGAGCCAAAGTCAAGCATGCGTGCTCATGGGCCAAGGCATGAGTGCCTGCCTGGCCCCTGCCCAGCGGTGAAGGGGTTGGGTGGTGGTCTTTGTCATTGACATGTTTCCTTCCCTGGGGCCACAGGGGTCTCTCAAAAGCAAAAGTAGCGGTCCTAATCACTTCCTGGTTTAAAAAAAAAAAAAGGAAGGGTTATTTCTGACTCTTATCCAAAAAGATGCATGCTGAGCAGGAATGCCATGAACATCTGCTGCAGTACAGATCTCAGAAGCCAGCCCCTTTAAAGCTAAGAACCAGGGCCACTTCTCTGTTAGAACAGGCCTATTTCTAGGGCAGTGTTCCCCCAAGTGTGACACATGCACAGACCATGGGACATAAGATGGTTCTTGGTGTTACAAAGACACAAGGTCACACGTTAGGGATACAAATGGTGATTCTCCTCTACTCTCCTCCCATCCCTCTGTTTAGGGGATGAGAAAGTTGCAGTTTCTTAGCAATATGTCTTGAACTCCTCTCTCACATTTGTTAATTCCTTTTTTTTTCAATGAAAGGAGAGAGACATTCTTGGGCTCAGAGCTTTTAACAGATACCATAGGAAACACTTAATAACACTGTTTTGTTTTCACTGTGTTTACTTGAATAATACATATGACTCTATATATATAGTCTCTCTCTCTATGTGTGTATATATACATATGGCTGCCCTGGTAGCTCAGACAGTAAAGAATCTGTCTGCAATACAGGAGACCCAAGTTCAATCCTTGGGTCAGGAAGATTCCCTTGGTGAAGGGAATGGCTACTTACTCCAGTATTCTTGCTTAGAGAATCCCATGGACAGAGGAGTCTGGTGGGCTACAGTCCATGAGATTGCAAAAAAGCTGGACATGACATAACAACTAAACCACTGTCACATATATGTATCTGTCTGTGTGTGTGTGTATATACACACACACACATATGTATATATGAGTAACAGTAGGACTTTCCTGAGTTTTGTGAGTTGTTCTAGGGCTCATGGAACCTGAGGCTAGGTTGGAGGGAGTGTCATGGGAGTCCCCGAATGTGCACCAAGTTGGACAGAAATGCAAGTAGCCTGAGGACCTGGCACTAGCAGCTGGCATCTGAAGTGAGGGCAGTCTTACAGAATTGAGCCCTTACACCTGGGTGGTCAGTGTTAGAACTACATTGAATTGTATTATAGGGCATCCAGTTGGTGTAGGAGAGTTGGAGACTTGTTCGAACGAGACAGTACATTGTAAAATTCCTTGTGTAAGTCATTTAAATTTACTGGAAAGGAAGACAATTTAGCTATTAAGTAAATACTTAATGTGCAGCATGCAGATATGACAAGAATCATGGAAGAATAAGAATCACTTTGGTAGGTAAAGGTCATGATGAACTTGCCATTCAAAGATTTCTTAAAGAAAATGTCAGGCTTCTATGGTGTATGTGTAAAAGGCATGGTGGACATAAATAACACATCACTTTAGCCTTAAATCTGCTGTTTGCCCCATAAACTTTCCTAACAACTTTTGGGAAACTTATGGAACGGTAATTGAAAGTGCCCGTTACCATACAGTGTGAAATAGCCACATAGGAGTCAACATTCATGACCATAACAGGTGAGCATACAAACAGCACAGAGCGCCAGTGAGTGTACAGTATGCTGTGACAAATATGCACGAAGCCTGGGATGACACTGTCACTCTCAGTTTAATGGTTTTCTTAGCTAGCCACTCTCATTAGGAGTTTTAGAAGCATCAAAGGAGGATTTAAAATTAGATTTACTTCAATACAGGGAAAACCATGCAAAATACGCTCTTAATTTTTCCAGGGTCAAGTTGTCTCTTAGATCTGGTGACAATAGTCATTAGTTAATTGACACATGAGAACAATAGTTTTCAAGGTGTTATCAGCAGACCACCAATTCAAATTCCTTAGTTTTTTTAAATTGCGGGTTCCCCTTGACGGAGGTTTTCTTTTCATTGGCTTTCAGGTTGTTCTTTAGGCCCTTTCAGTTTGGTAACTTTTTCATTAGTTTAAAAAAAGAAAACAAAAACAGAAGGATCACCCCAGATGCCCATTTACTGTGACTCTGTCACTAACTCACTGTGTGGCTCTGAGAGTCACCTAACTTCTCTGGGCTTTGATGACCTCATACTGTTTGTTATACTATGTCAAGTCTACATTCCAAATCTGAACCAAGCCAAAAACTGTAAGCAGCTTCCATCCCAGGTTTGAGCAGGGTTTCAAGTCTCACCACATAGAGCTGTTTCCAGATGCTGCCCCATTCCCAAAGTGTTGTTGTCACTTCTTGTGCCAGAGGAATTTCTGCAGGAATAATGTTCTCGATATTTCTATTTAAGGTGGGAGAGAAAACGGTGTGAAATTGAGACCCAGGTGCTAACATGATAAAATGTTGGCAAATTTGCATTAAGCTGCAGCTGCTGAGAGGGGCCTTGCTGGCAGGAGACTAAACCACTTCCAATAGCCACACCAATTACATTATGCAAATGCAAAGGGCTTTCTTTTTCTCTGTCCTCCTGCATTGAGGTGGGCCCTGCAAGCTCATTATTCAGGATTAACCTACTTTAATTCAGTTCAAAGGCAGCTGCCAGTGAAAACTTTGATCTTCCAAATGTACTAATACCCCCTCAGAATCAGATGCAAACACGAATCAATTTACATTGGAGACAAACACAGGCACGAAGAAGACAGATCCTTCATATCTGCCAAGTCAGGTTTCCAAAGCAGACAGGATGCGGGCATCATAAGCTACCGGAGAGTCAGGTCTGGGGGAAGATGGCAAATACCTTTTTCTCTCCACTGTCACATCTTTGATGTAGATAAAGGATTTTGGAAAAATGCCCTGTTGGAGATAAGATAAGATAAGATGAGATTGGATGACTTGTCCCTGTAGAAAAAACTGACCCCAGGTCTTCATGATTTTTCCAAAAGCTACTAACTGGTAAAAAACCTCGAAATTCACAAGAATAATTCCAGTTCCACAGAACAAGTGGTGGGTGTTAAATTCACTCATTTAGACTTAATCCCTCTCCCCTTCTTCAGCAGTTGCTCAGGATCCCACAATAGCTCTAGATTCCAAAGAATGCCCTAACCTCACTGCGATCACTCACACTATCAGATGGGCAAGGCAGGAGTGCTTAAGAGGTTCACTCTAAGGGAGAAAGGTCTTCTGTCTTTCCCCTCTCCTGCCTAATTCTGGGAAAGCAGCCACCCTGTACTGTTAGAGAAGGTCAGGTCCTGAGGAAACAGTGCCCCTGGTTAGCATGTGGGCTGCTTTGATCTTCTCTCTGGATTTATTTGATTGTTCTCTAGAGAGGAGAGAGGGATCACGCCTTCCCATACAGCATGTCAGGGAGGAAGGAAGGAGCATCTACTATTTCCTTTCTCCATAAGCTTGGCTTAGTTGACAAGAGAAGTTGAGCAATTACTTGGACATTCCTTCACCAGTTTAGCCAACGTGTACACTGGGGACAGCAGGTAACTGTGCGAGGTACCGTGAGCTGTCAGGAGATGAGCAAAGCACGTGCATCTCCCATGGAGATGGCGGTGTGGTGTGGGGCTAGGGCAGAGGAAGCCCCTGAGGGCTGAACTGGCCCTGTCCCTCCCGAGTCATGCTGGAAACAGGGGAGGAAAGGACGAATGCCCCAAGCCAGCCAAAGAAAGACAGTAGAAGATGAATTTCAGATAAAAAACGCATGATTCAATGGGACTGGAGAAATCACATATGGCTGGCATATTAGGAAAATTTGCAGGGAGAAGAGAGCTCTGGAAGTCGGCCTTAAAGAAGGAGTGAAGGGGGAACGGATCAAGGTACAGCAAAGAAAACCCTGGACACAAGGAGACAGGCGTGAAATCAGTTTGCAGAGCAACAGTGGGAAGTAATTGCCCAGGGGACTGGCAGGGTCATGCACAGACACCCAATATTGTCCCAGATAAAAACAAAATTGACCTCACCTGTAACATTTTGTGCTTTACAAGGTATCCCCTATACCAGTCTGCAAAGAGAAAACAAAGAAACAGGTCTTTCATCTATTCTTACAAGTCCCTTGCTGGGGTTTATTGGTGTTGCTGTTTGTTTTTCACTAGCAAAGAAACTGCAAAGTGTTTTAGACCTTAGGTCGAGATCAAAGCCCTAGGATTCAACTCATTCTATTGAATGAGTTGCCAACATCTCCAAAAACTGACCCAAAATCCAGGGATTTCAGGTAAAAATGCAAATTTAATTCTTTAAAAAAAAAACAAACAAACAAAAAAACAGGAGGCCCTGAGATGGTGACCAGTGCTCCCGATGGCTGCAGTTGACTAGCGGTGAGGGGCAGCTAGTCTCATCAGACAAAAGGAGGCGTCTCCAACTCACCAGCCTCTACCCAGCCCCTCTCTTCTTTCCATCAACTGCCTGCATCCTTCTTGTGTTCATACACATGTTTTCAACCTCTGCTTTAGGAACATAGAAAGGCTGAGAATGTCTGAGGAGTTTGGCAAACATCCTACAATAATGCCCACAGTTCTAACAGCAGCAAATTGTGTCTAACACGTAATCTGCAGAAGTTAGTCATTACAAAACAGACAGGTTCAGGGATGGGTGAAAGGACAGGAGTTTTAAAAGATTCTTCCCTTTGAAGGAATATCAAGAATGATTCAATGAACAGAAATCCAAATTATATACACAGTCCTCGGACAAAATGAGCCTTGGTATAGCAAGTATTGATGACTATAATGAGCCTACTCGCCTTTGAAATGATTCAAGCACAGCCAAGTAGTGGCATTTGTTATCTTTGTAAATAAAAAGCGTCTGCCGGGAGGCTTATTAGCAAATCCTCATTACTGGGCTGACAGATTGCTGTCAAAATATGTTCTCAACAGACATAAGTGCAAGCTCCAAAACAAACATTTAAAATGCAAAGTCACCCCTCACAGTCATGAGCCAGCTAAAGAAAGTTCTAAAGCAACAGGGGCCCAAAGTGGTTCCTATTTTAAGAGACAGAAAGGTAGAGGATGGAGAGAGAGTGGAAGGAATGGATAATGGAGAGAAAGAATCTCAGGTTTGGAATAAAGTATCATTCTAAGTGGGCTTTCCCAGTGGCTCAGGGATAAAGAATCCGCCTGTAAAGCAGGAGACACGAGTTGGAACCCTAGATCAAGAACATCTCCTGGAGAAGGGCATGACGACCCACTTCAGTATTCTTGCCTAGAGAATTCCAGGGACAGAGGAGCCTGGCAGGCTACAGGCCATTGTGTTGCAAAGACTGGGACGTGACTTAAGTGACTGAGTGCACGCGCACACACACACACACACACACACACACATGCCACACACACCATTCTAAGTATCCTTCATATATGAAGCCTTCTAATCCTCACAACAACCCTATAAGGTGGGAAATGCAACTGTCCCATTTTACAGAAGAGTGGCTCTCTGGAGGCACAGAGCAGTTAAGTAACTAGCCCAGTCACACAGCTAATAAGTAGCCATCACACTGGGCTTCTTGTCTAGTGGAGGCCTAATACTGCCACCCTCCCAACATCTGAATCCCCAAAACTACATCCCCACTAAGTACTTCCAGTGGTGGAACACTTTCTGGTTCATAAAGAACCATATTCTAGTTTCACACTCTAATCATTTCCCCATTACTATTGGTAATAATTAACTGTTAAAATCAGTGCTTTTATTAACAATAGGGCTTGCTGTGTGCCAAGAACTCTGGTGAAGCTTTTTGTTTTGTTTTTCCACATTATAAATTGATTCTATAAAGTAGGTACTATTATTGCCTCAATTCTGCAAATGAAAATAGAGAGGCACAAAGAGATGAAGAACTTGCTCATCGTCACACAGCTAGTGAGTGATGCATCTAAATGATTTAAATCCAAGCGTCCGACTCTGGAGATGATCCTCCCTAATACTACACTAGAACAGCCTCCTTTATTTGCAGTTTTTTCCCATTCAACCAACTTCTCTGTAGCATTACTGTTAATAGCTACCATTTATTGACCGCTAAACGCACACAAAGCTGTGCATGTTTTCTCTCATTTAACCCTCATACCATGCTGTGAGTTAAGCATCATTATTCCCATTCTGTAGATGAAGAAACTGAGACAAATCAGTGAAGATGCTAGGCCAAATCACATGCCAGGGTTCAGGGGCAAGCCTGCGTGGCTCCAAGCCAGCCCTCAGAGTGGTTTCACCACACTGCCCCCACCACACTGCCCCCATGTGATGAGCACAGACACAGATAATGTTCTCTTAGAGTGCACACACAGTCAACGTTCTCTTGGTTGCAGTGACCTGAATCCACCTTGCTGGCCAAGGCTACCAGACTCCCCCAGGAAAACGATCAAGGGACTCCTAGCTGCTCACATCTGCCTCTGCACAACAGGGCCTTCGTCAGGGTCCCCTGACTTCCTCTTCTAGCAACACCACCCTCTCTCACCCTTGGTAACCAGTGACTTGCCACCCCTTGTAGGAATCCCGATTCTCAGAACTTCAACTCACTCCTGAGCAAGAAATTGACTGATGCTTACCCTTAGCATCCACATTCTGACTCCCAGATTTTAAGTTCAAGAAACACTGACTGTGCTCTATTCTGTACACGGCACTGATCTAGGTGCCTTCAGAAATAAATCACCAGTGATCTTTGATGAAACGGCCTTACCACCATCTCCACTTGCTAGATGATGATGAAGCATCAGCTTCATCAGATCTGTCCTTACGACTTTTTCTGACAGTCCCAACTCTGCTGAATCGGTAACCTCTGTGACCTCTGATGTGTGCTCCGAAACCTGGTCACCAGTCACTATATCTGGCTGTACGCCGAGACCGGACAGGGCAGATAGCAGTAGTTGACAGGCATAGCAAAATCCATGATGACAGGCACTCTGATCAAAGCCAGGCTCTGGGTAACAGAGCACTGACCACATCCCAGGCCTTATCCCCTGGCTTAAAGCACTTTCAGTTAAGTAACAGGGAAGGCTTTTTTGTCTAACCCTATCCATGAGACAGGAACTTTTTAAAAATAGAAAACTCAAAGTACATCCTGGGAAAGATGAGAAAAGGGAGTTTTGTTTTGTTTTGTTTTAACCATTCTTATGGAAAATGATAAACTCCAACTGTCCTCCTTTCCCACAGCCCAAATATCAAAATGAAATGTACCTAAATTCTCCAGTGACCCAGGAGTTGTATGGGGAAGGGGAGAAGGAGGAGAGGTTAAAAATATCCCAGCACATCAAAAAAGAATCCACATCCTATTTAACAGAAATCCAGTCCTCTCTCTGCCACCTGAGGGCAACATGATCTTTGGTCATATCACTTAAACTTCATTATTTTCACCTGTCAAATGAGGGCAATAACACCTACCACACAGAGTGTTAGGTGTTAGTTGCAAAACTATTTTTTAAAACAGAATTATGAAGGTAAACACATCTGATAAAGGTACAACATCTTAGACTGGAAGAACACATACCAATTTCAGGAGGAGCATCGCCTGAGGAATGGACAAAAAGACAAGAATGGAACAGGGGAGGGTAAGCAGGGGACCTCAACTGATCTAAAATATTTATTTCTTTAAAACGTATATGAACTGAACACACAAAACGTTAACAATGCTTTATTTGCGTGGTGAGTGTCCCAGTGTGTTTCACTTTCCAGTTTGATTGAAATATCTACTAATGTTAAGAAGAATATGACAAAAGCTAGTATCCATCAGTGCTTAAGAGCATGAGCTCTGAAATGAAAGCCTGAATCTGAAAGAAGATCTGCAACTTCTGAGTGATCTCTGGCACATTAGCGTATTTCTCTAAGCCTCAGCTTTCTTATTTGTAAAATGTGAGCAATAATAGCGTCAGTCTCATACGCCTAAATTAGACAAGAAATTCAGTTTGTACAGTGCCTTGCATATGGTGTTAAAAAAAATTAGTAAATGCCATTCTGTCTTTTAAAAATCCATAATCATCATCATCAATCAGGGAAACTTAGGCATATTTTTCATTTTACTTCCAGAACCTACAGATTTTGAATATTGTTTGTTTTCCGTGCCATTATTTCAGCTTATTTTCATGACAACAAAGTAAATGACACATTCTTCAAATTCAACATAATGGAAGTTTATTGATGTTTTAGCTTCACCCACAATCAAAACGGAAGAAAACTTAACTTATAAACTCCCCTCAATGGAACAGCCTTACTTCAGAAAACAGAACCCCTTTTTTTTTTTTTTTTTGGAAATGTTCATGACAGCTTTATTCTTTTTTTTTTTCCATTTATTTTTATTCATTGGAGGCTAATTACTTTACAACATTGTAGTGGTTTTTGCCATACATGTCGATGCATGGCAGAGCCCCTTTCAATATCAGCCTGTCTCTAGGCAGACAGGACCACCTCTCTGCAAGTGGCACTTTTGAAAATACCATCTTAAGTCCTTATGATGCCCCCTTCATGCCCTAAAACAAAGGACCCGGATGGGTCAAGATCACTCTCGGTGGAGCTGTCTCAAGAGAAACTGCTGCGTAGCCCTGGGTGTGCCTCAGTCTCTAAGTGGGAGATTCCAACCCTTCGTCCAGAGCTCTCTGCAGCTGAACCAAGGCCACGCTGACACGTGTGCCAGCTTAGAAAGAAATGTTTTAAGTGAGAAGAGCAAATCTCAGAACAGTTAGAAAACACTGACAGGAAGAGCCAGGTCTTACCGTAAGGAGGTTAAGCTATGCCAACTTCCTCCTCATCCCTCCTCCTTGTTCCATGTTACATGGTAAGTGAGATTCAAAAGTTCCTTGGAAACCTCTGTCTAGAAATCCGATTATCTTCACCACCAAGACTGAGCTCCCGTGGCCTGGGCAAGCGTGCGTACCAGGAAGTGGAAGGGAACCTTCCCTGGTGTTGTGGAAAGCAAGAGTCGGGGAGCAGATAACTGAGAGTGAAGAAGACATGCCCTCTGCAGGGCTTACAACGAGAGTCTAGGTGGCCAGTGGCTGAGGACCTGCCTTCCAGTGCAGAGGATGAGGGCTTGGCCCTTGTTCGAGTAGCTAGGATCCCACACGATACGGGGCAGCTAAGCCCACACACACTGCGTACCACAGCGAAGATTCCTCGGGCTGCAGCCAGCACCGAACAGCCAGAAACTAATTCCGCTAATCAGTTTAATATTAACCGATAAAATATTTTCTAAAACAAGGGTCTCAGTAAGCTGGGCTGCCCCCAGGGAACATCCCCCCACCGCAGTGTAAGCAGTCTATTTCAGAGGAGGCCGCTGTTGCCTTCCGGGGGCATGGTATGGCTCTCACCCCAGAACCAAATCCAAACGTAGGGGTGCCACCCACAAGACTCACTCAGAGACACTGGGGGCATCTGGCTCCTTGTTCTCCAGCTACACGGCTATTCATGCAGGGCTAGCTGACCTTTGGGCTTGTTTGTTCAAGACAACAGAAAACTGGAAAGAAAGCACCCCAAACTGCTTCTACCCTCAGCCTTGTTTAAGCTGGGGAAAGGGAAGGAGATTAAAGGAAGATTAAGTTGGACATGGTATTGGAGTCTTCTGAGATGTTGTTAAGTATCAAGAAAGATGTCAACCAAATATAACTGAAGGAAGTGATGGGAGAAAACCAACACTCCGTTTTTATCTTTATTCCCCCATGAGGAGTTCTGACTGCTCAATGAAGACTTACATGTGTTTTCCACATCTGAAAGCAGGACATAGAATGTTTATGCTGCCTCTGGGTAGAAGAGGCAGCCTGAGAGATGTAATGTGGACAAAGAAATGAGCATTAGGATGTCTAAGGCTCAGCAATGGATGCCCTTTTGCAATGTTTGTGTTTTTAATCACACACACAAAAAATGTTATCTAAATGGAAATACTAAAAATGCTAGTGTTCTAGTGAAAGGAAATTCATTCATGCCCAAGGTTTCAGCTCAGATTTTGTTTTCTCCATCCATCTGACTTCATAAGTTCAGTACACAGGCAAAAAAGGGCTAGCCTCACCCATTCCAAGACATCAGAGGGCCAGCTTCTGGGTTCCTGGAGCCAAATTCCTAAGATACATACATACTGGCCAATCTCAGTTTAATTCTGTATAATGAGGGTTGGGGAGAGATGGAATCCAACACAAAGCACCTAGAAGCCAAGCATGGTGCTAGACAGCGTCTCTACTTCTCTTACTTTATCCTCATAACCAATCCAGGAGCAAGGTGATGATGCTCCATTTTGCAGGTGAGAAAACGGAGGTTCACCTCCCTGAGGTCACTCAGCTAGTGGATAAATGGAGCAGAGAATAACCTTTTGATTAAAAAATCCATGCTCTCTCTATGTTTGCATCTCTATGCCTGCCCTGCAAGTAGGTTCGTCTGTACTGTTTTCCTAGACACAGAGGGAGGAAGGAGAGGGTGGGGTGAGTTGGAAGAGCAGCGCTGACATGTACACGCCACCCCGAGTGAAATAGGCAGCTAGTGGGAGCTGCTGAATAGCGCAGGGGCGCAGCTCATCGCTCTGTGATGGCCCAGGAGAGCGGGGCTGCTGCGGGCTGGGAGGGAGGCTCAGGGGTGAAGGGACATCTGTGCACACACGGCTGATTCACTCCGTCACACAGTGAGACTAACACAGCACTGTAAGGCAACTATGCTTCAACAAAAACAATGTGAAGTCCGTGCTTTTTCTGCTTCTTTCTTTTTTTCTTTTTTTGTGGAGGAGAAGGGAAATTTAAAAATTACTGCAAAATACAAAATAAAAATATTCACATTTCTATCACCTAGAAGTAATCATTGTGATATCTAAAGAAATACACTTTGAGTCTTCAAGATTGTGTCTATTCTATTCCATTCCCCTCTAAGCTTCTCAATTTTATTAGTTTTTGTTGTTGGGGGGCAGTTACATTTTACAGTTTCCTAACAATGACATTCTTTTTGGTAGTCATAAATATTATTATATCTTTTAATACTAATTTTTACTAATCAATTCACTTGGACTCAATGCTTGCCAGTATTTCCTTCTATCGCAGCTTTTCAATTCCTGTATTTTAACATTTTGATTCCTCTATCAATTGGCTGGATTTTATTTTTTTGAGTAAGGTTTCTACAAGTGGGTTACATGGGCACACCCATATTTTTTCTACTGAGTCATTTTGACTAATTTTTGACTAACACTGTGGTTTTCACTTTTTATATATATATCTGCAGAGAGGAACAGTTTTCAATTGGAATCCAAAGCAGAACTACCCACCTGCAAAAAAGACAAGACCAGGCCTGATCTCCGAGCCCTTAGCCATCCAAGGCCCTCAGGGACTCTTGGGATCCTATAAATTCCAGTTTGAAAACTCCTTATGGGTATCAGTGCTTGCATGAAAAAGCCTAGTCATTTTCATACCAATTCCTCAGATATCTGGAATCAATCTAACAGACTTCCAAATAGGGTATTTTCAAAGTATTCATGAACTGGCAATCACTTGCTAAATTAATATGCCCAGACCTTTCCAGAAAATTATTGTGGCTGCTTATTACAAAGATGCATTAAAATAAGACTGATAAGTCAAAATTTTAAATGAGAAACCAAAACTCAAAGTTTAGGAGCAAGGAGATTAATCCCCAAAACAAAGGTGGCTTGAGTCAGACAGTGCAGCCTTTTTGACCATCAAGCTCCAGGCCAGGCAAAAGAAATGCTCTGATTATGTACAAACTGTGTGGTCAGTTTTCTGCCCTGAAGCACTTTCTCCAGGAAAACTACATGAAAACAAGAGAAACACACTCATCTCAATTTCAAAATGTAGGATGAAGAAAACAGTCTGAGGCTTTTTCACCTCTTGGTAGGCAGGAGGTGGAGGAAAGGGAGCTCGTCTTGACAGGAGTGGAGAGAGCAACCCCCGACTCATGGTGTGATGCTGGATGAGTCATTTCTCTTCCCTGAGCCTTGCTCCCTCACCTGCAAAGCTAAGGTCTCTGCCTGTTTCTCAGGATTAGCACTCAGTAGCACAAAAGTGACACTGAGAGGAGTCATTTTGCCTGCTGCCTTTATTTTTATTCTTTGCCCTCGGTAGGTTAACCTAGAGTTTGCTCATCTGCCACTAAGCAGAACTGCATTTGTAAAACGTAGGGTTGTGCTATGGGAAAGGGAAAGGGTGTTTGTAATCAGATCTCCACCCACCTCCCCCAGTCTCACTCAATCTGCATGTAAAATAGGATCAGATTGGGAACTTTAGAGGCCTGAATACTGAAAAGTTCATAGCATCTAAAATAACAATAATACCAAAGAGTAAATGTTAGGAAGGTGAACAAAATTCTCATTTCCCCCACAATGACTTCTGTCAAGCTGCTTTGAAATATCACATTCTTTCTCCCTCCAAAAAGTTTTCTGTTTGTTTGCTTATTTTGGTTTGCATGTGTGTGTGTGCGCGCATGCATATGTGCAAGAGTACATGCACCCCTACACAAATATGCAGAGTTGGCTTGTTAATCACATACAGCTAATCTTGGGCTGAAGATGCTACCTGTCCTACAGGTTGCTATGAGGAGCAACTAGCCTAACATGTTATGGGAATAGTACAATTCCACCTATGAGGTGAGAACCCACAGCTGGCTAGTTCTGTAGGCAGCCTCCTTTCCTCTGACCCTCTATTTCCACTTGAGGGTGGCCTCGTTAACAGGAGCACACCTGCTTGGTGCCCACCATCTGCCCCCATCCCAGCATGGGACAGCCTAACCTAAGGGATTAGCTGGGAAACAGGGACGTAGCCCACTCTGCCCTTCCTTTTCTTTGCTCTGCCGGGACACAGGAAGGACACATGGTACATCCTCCACACAGCAGGATTACAGGCAGGCCCACGTGGTGGGGGGGTCAGTGGAGACCCACCATGGTCCAGTTGGGCAGTGAGGACCAGGAGAACCTGCCTGAATGTAGCCATCATATTAGTAATTTCAATCAGCTCTTACACCCATGCCATGGTCCCTATGTCAATTTTATCAGTGACACAGTTGATACATTGATTTCTAATGGTCTTCCTCATGAGTCCAAGGCCATTAACCTTAGTGCAAAGTTTAAAAAGTACCCACTACCACCAATACCACCACTATGATACTATGGATACAGCCCAATAGACACGTGGCTTCATGAGAGATGGCACCTCTGTGGGAAGAAAGAGATGCCACCTTGCCCAAGACAGGGCTTCCAGCTGGAAGAAGGGAGTGAACACTGCTCTCTGACCCAGACCACACAGCTATGTATCATAGTCCTCCTGAATCAGGAGGACTGATTTTCTAGACCTTTCAAAACCCTGATAATGCTGATATTTCTTTATAATGGTGTTAAAACTAATAAAGAAGTATATCCAGGAGGTGTCACAGTCCCTAACAGCTCCATGGCACAGCAAAAAGCACAACAAATGTCAAACCACCTAGTCAGGCCTTTGCTTCTCAGTATATATTCCTGCAATAACAAAGCACTGTCTTTAGTAAATTTAAATGACTAATATCAGCAAAATGTATTTAAACAGAACACACAGAGTTGCAAGTTCCAAGAAAGGGCTGGAGCGGCTGGGTATGTACTAGGGGTGTCCCAATACCATTAGCCAAGCTCCTGGCGTCCCAGGATCACCTGGGTCAGTGACTCACCTCCACAGGTCTCCTGTATTCGTACCACATCACCGATCTGCAGGGAGAGTTGGGGGGTCCCACTCCCTTGGAAGTTGTATATGGCTGTGAAATGAAAGAGAGAGGCATGGTGAGACCTCTGGATACCAAGAATCTCTGCACCTTCCTTTCTTGACTTTATCTGATGCCCATGAAGCCCTCATGGGCTGAACAAAACCAGCATACAAACCACTTCTTGCCACAGGAGTCAGTACAGGCCCAGTCTGGCTCCCAAAGACGTCTGCTCATCAGTCAAACACGGCCTCTCCCTAGCCAGGCTGTGCGCCCCAGTCTGGTGATAGGAAGGGTGTTTATGTCATCTCCCAAGCTTGACTTTCCATGGTACACCCACTCTATCGTCCCCTTGTTCCATTCTCACAGCAATCCTGTGAGGAGTCAACTGTGATCCCATTTCACACATGAGGAAATGGAGGTGCTGAGAGGTTAAACAGTTTGGCCAAAGTCATTAGGTTAAGAAGTGACAGGAAAATCAGTATCTAACACCTCTATTCTCAGCTGCTATCACGGCTACTTGCTGCTCCCCAGTTACTCCACCCCTAGTGACAGCAGCCTAAAATACCAGTCTTTCCACCACTCAAAGACCAACCAGCCATCACTGTCTAAGAAAGCCGTATCTTTCTCCTACCCGGCTCTAACCAACCTGTGTTCCTTGATCTTAAAATGCCTGTTTCTTGGTCTTTCCAAAAGCAAATCTTTCAGGCAAGTCCTATTTTATTCATGAGGCACTCCTTGACTTCTCCAGGCCACATTAACCACCCACCCCCATCTCCTAATAGTTCGTAGAACTCTTATGAGTACCTAACATTGAAGAGTGTACTCTGATTTCCCATTTACACTGCCAGTTTCTGGGGAGCAGCAGTTGGCTATGAAAACAGAGTCCCCCCTGTGCATCAGAGGCCTCTGATAGCTAATCCCCTGGACTGTGAGATTACACTATATCATTACAGTGCCTAGCCCTTGCTCAGCATAACTTAAGTGAGGACAAGGCCACAACCTTAACCTAGGGATGAAGCTTGTTCAAGGAATACCCAGCTTGGGAGGTCTTCAGGAAAAGAACAAGTGATGTTTGATTTTACACATGAATCAAAATACATGTGGTTTGATTTAAGGAAAGACCCTCAGGAGGATGGATGATCTGAACCTACAAGGCTGGCCTCATTCATTCGGGCAGCAGGTATTTGGTGTCTACAGTATACCAGTATGACCTTGCTCTTTTGGTGAAAACACAAATAAATATAAGGTTATAAAAAATGATACATGTGATGGAAGAGACAAATATGGCCACCTGGTAGGTGACTCCCCAGGTGACACAGTTGGTAAAGAATCCACCTGCCAATGCAGGAGATGCAAGAATCACAGTTTCGAACCCTGGGTTGGGAAGATCCCCTGGAGTAGGAAATGGCAACCCACTCCAGTATTCTTGTCTGGAAAATTCCAGGGGCAGAGGAGCCTAGCGGGCTACAGTCCATGGAACCCATGGGTCACAAAGAGTTGGACACATCTGAGCACACACACATACAAGAGAATAATAGCGGGGCATCCACTTTTCCTGGGGTAGTTAGTAAAGGCTACTCCCTGAGCTGATTATAGACGGAGGAATCAAACAAGTCGGCTATGGGGACAATGAGTGGAAGGGCATTTCAGGAAGAGGAAACTGTGCTCAAAGGCCCGGAGTGAGGAAGATACTTGGCACAGAGAGCATCAGGGAAACTGCTAGGTGTGGAGTATGCTGAGAGGAGGGAGAGACACAGACAGGCTGGAGAGGCAAGAATCAGGTCACGCAGGGCTTCCTGATGAGTTTAGGCTTTATTCCAAGAAAATAGGAAACTGAACAGATTTTAGTTATTTGATAATAGATTTATTCAGGTACAGTTTGTCCACTTAAAGTAGGTAACTCAAAGATTTACTCACAAGTTGTGAAACCATCACTAAGATTAATTTTAGAACATTCTCAACACCTCAAAAAGTTCCCCCAGCCACAAGCAGCCACTCATCTACTTTCTGTCTCTATAGATTTGTCTATTCTAGACATCTCATATAATATGTGGTCTTTTGCAACTGGCTTCTTCTGCTTAGCACGGGTTTTAAAGATTCATTGATGTTACAGCAACTATCATTACTTCATTCATTTTTGCTGCTGAATAATACCCCATTGTGTAGAGACATCGGAGGACGGAGGCTGAAAGGGAGTGATGTGATCCCATAACACTGACTATCCCTCTCGCTTCCATGTAGAGAGTGGATAGAGAGAGGCAGAGTGGATGTGAGGAGGCCCATGAGGAGACCCTGGCTTTGTCTTTCTAATCCCAGAGGTCTCTGGACCAAGGAGAGACAATGCTGATGAGCCATGTGACAAAATGGAAGACAGATTGAACTGAATGAGAAGAATCCTGAGTCCTCTTGGTAGTCTTACCATTGACTCAGTTCATTCCCTCTCCCTTTGGTCCTCAGTCTCCTCACTGTCAACAAATTGCATTCAAAAACTTAGAGCCAAATCAGCAAAACATGGTGAAGTAGGGAATTGCAAGAACAGGTTCTTGCAATGAAAATCTGGCAAAAATGGTCAGAACCAACTTTATCAGAACCCTGAAAAACGGTCAGGAGTTTACAGCAAGCAAGCAAATGCTTCCTCAAAAAAAAGGAAACTGAAGCCTGGTAATGTGTCATAGCACTTTAACTTATTCTTACCCCATTCTCTTTTCCCCATCTTAGTGGCAGTCTTGAAGACGGTATTCCATGTTCGTGGTGTGGATTCCCAAGGCTGGAGGGAGCAGAGCAGACCCTGTCCCAAGAAATTGTAGTTGTTTGTTTTGATCTGTCTGTGGGCTTCCTGAAGGACTAAAGCCTCGAGTTTGCCTTTATTTCCCTGATTTGGGACTCTCCTAAGGCAGAGATGCAGTCATGCAAAGGGCATTAATCAAAAACATTAAGTCAAAAGAACTACCTGCTGCCATAGAGGGCAAAGAAAATAAGTTGGGGCAAACGATAACCCTACCTGTAAGCCTGGGAGGAAAGGCTTAGCATTGAAATACTGTGGAGAATAAGAGCTTTGAAGAGTACCATATATCACTAGGGATCTAGAAGACCACGTAGAGTTGGACACATGTTGAGAAAGGGTGTGAGAAAGCCCACATCTCAGCTCTGGTTGACTGTCAAGCTCCATGCATGCAGGAAATGCAGGCTAAGGCAAAGTTGTAAATGGGCTGGCTAAGAGTTGAAGGTATGTCCAAACACCCACACACAGCTGCAAAGACTAGATTGTTTTCTCTCAGTTCCAGGCATTTAGAGACTTCTGTGACCACATGCAACAAACAACACAGTCTTAACAAAATGCTTTAGAAAAGTCACTAATCAAACCAACTGCTACAATCTGTATGAAGGAGTGACAAGAAGCCCCGGCAAGGAGGGAGGCTCTGATGTCCAAGCTAGCACATCATAATATTCAAGATATCCACTTTTCAACACAAAATTATGAGGATTGTAAGAAACAAGAGAGTATAGTCCATCACAGAGAAAAAAGGGAAATTAATAAAAACTATCCCTGAAGAAGGATAAGCAATGGACTCAGGAGACAAAGATTTTAAATCAATTATTTTAAATATGCTCAAGTAGCTAAAGAAAACTATGGACAAGGAACTAAAGGAAACCAGAAAAATAATGTCTCCAAAAATGGCGAATATTGTTAAAGAGAGATAAATTTTAAAAAGGAATCAAATAAAATAAATCCTTTGCCCAAAATGAAACATGAGAGGACTCTCAGGGGACTCAGTTTTCTCCTACACAAAGATGTCCTGTTTCTCCATTTCCCTCCACACTTGGCCTGACTTCGAGCCCTGCCCCCAAACAGGCTGCTGGCATTTGGACACTACAGCTTTTTGATGCCCTAATTCTGCAGATTCTCCACAGTCTCAGAGGTCTGGCTGAGGACACACCTGACATGGAGCTGGGCAGGGCCACAGAGGTAACTGAGATTTCTAACAGAGGAAAGCCATCCATAATGTGTCTCCCTCTGGAGCACTAGTAAATTAGGCCTATCCATCAGATATTTGAAGTTCAGAGCAAGACTCATTTTGTTCCCAGACTGTAGCCTTCCCATCTTTCCTTAGGACTCCTCTCTTCCTCCACCTCTGCCCAGCTCTATCAGGTGAGAAAGTACCAACCAATTGGCTTAAGAAGATATCTTGGACAGATCTTGAAACCTGATATCCAACTTCAAGGTCAGTATTCATTCCAAAGCCTCACATTAGATGAAAATGAAAGTAACTGACATTGCCATTTAATTTATAAATGTATTTCTGCCTTTGCATGAGGACCTCTGTTCTCAAGGCTCCATTTGGGGAAAAGAAGACATTACTTGTCGACAAAGGAAGTGGCTTTGCATACCAATACCCAATTCTGTTAAGTTTTCTAAATGACTAACAGGAAACTTTGAACCAGAATGCCACCCTTTGCTAAAGTTTTATTGCTTATCTATGAATCTCACTTGAGTTGTTTCTGACCAGTGTCAGAACAGGTCATCTTGTCACCACTCCCTGCAGGTCTAGCCACTCTCAAGTTTTAAGTGAGTGATGGAAAAGGCAGAAAAACAGAAGGAACCTACAGGAATAAGTAAGAAGTAAAAATCATTGAAATCATAGCCCTCCCCACTCTGGCCGTGTCCATCCATGAAAGATAAACAAGTGGTGGAAGGATTTCCATAGACACGTATCTCAGCTTCCCCTTTTTTATGAAGTTTCTGTGCCTTGGAGAATATTGGTAAAACCCAACAAAGGATCTGACCTCTCCCTGTATTAAAATACTATACTCAGCAGCTAAGGCAGCAGCTGGTTACTGACAAGCCTAACCAGACCAAACTACTCATGGCTGAGGGTCAAAGGGGCATTTCAAGCACCAGGGCCATCTGAGGTCACTGAACCCAGTGAGGATACTCATGCTGGAAATCCTAGACTGTCAAGCCAGGGGGAGCAGCTACTTTAAGACAGGTGGGACTCCCAACAACCCTGGAAATCAAATCCACTGATTAGCTACAGATTTTACTTAAATGT